TTCTTTGAGTCATATTAATTAGAACTTGTCTTAGATTATGTTTTTAAGTGTTTTAGTTCATTAGAAAACTAAAATTTGTCCAAGTTTGTGTGAGAGTCCCAAAATTGCCCAGATTGTGTTTTTAAGGTAGTTTTGAGTGTTTAGGGGCTGTTTTGAGTCTTTTGGTTTGTTTTAGTGTTTTAAAGTATAGTTTTGCATTGTTTGAGTCTAGTTAGTGTTTTAAACTTTGTTTTCACGTTTTCAAGTCAGTTTCCAAGTGATTTAGCAATCCCTCCTAATCCCCGGCCTAGAACGATCCCTACTTACATACTTTACTACAATTGATAAAAAGAGGGTTTAATTTGTGTGTATAGTTATTTTACGCATCACCTTGTACTTGTCCACTTCCCCATTTTCATTCAATTTCGTCTTGAACATCCACTTTACTCTAATGGTTTTTCCTCTTGGTGGTAGATCATTCAACTCCCACGTATCATTCTTCTCTATAGCTTCTATTTCTTGTTGCATTGCTTGTCTCCACTTCTCACTCTTCACGGTATCATAATAAGTAGTAGGATCACCATTGGTAAACAAGGCTAGGTGAGCCAAGTTTACATTTTCTTCATCAAAGAGACCCTTACCGATTTCATTAGACCTGGCATTCGTGTCGTGTTTTCCGTGTTCGTGTCGTTTTCGTGTCATACCCGATATCTTAACGGGTCGTGTCGTGTAACACCCGTTAAAATAAACGGGTAAAATGACCCAATCCGAAATCGACCTGATAATTTTAACAGGTAATATGACCCGACCCGTTACCCGTTAAGGAAAATATATTTTAAACCAATAAATAATCAAATGAAAAACATAATACTAAATAAGTATATACATTCCATATTATCATATCCAAAACATAAAAATGCAATTTTGTTTTAAGTATATTTTCGCTTACCTAAAGTCTTTAATAGTTTTTTAATTAATGTAGAAGTGTAAAAAAATATAGAAAAATATATATAAACACACGTAATGACAAGCTTTATAACTTTCATGAAGAGCTTAACTTCGAAATTCGCCACTATAATCATATAAATCATAGATCAAAATTTAATCGTTGATTGTTGTTTACATTTATGCTTCATTGTTCTCATCAAATTTCATTTTTTTTAGATTTTCTTTTTTGAAAACATGATCTATTATAGGGTGCAGGTAGATGAACGGTTTGGATCATTGATATTATATTTAAAGTTTTACGGTTAGTGAAAATATTGCTTGATGTTTATAAAGTTTCTACAAATTATATGATATTGACTCATATTTCAGTTAACCGTAAATATCGAAACGTGATATCATCTTCTTACATCCGCCAGATGATCATGTTTTCAAAAAATAAAATTTTAAAAATGAAATTCAATAAAAAGAATAAAGCGTAAATGACAATCGACGGTTAAATAAATTTAAGGTTTCACTACTACAAAATTATCTATTGCTGGCAGTTCAAAAACATTTTTCAACGATCCAACCGTCAAAATTATTTGTACACATTCCAAGATTGCATACGTAAAAATCGTAAAAAACAAACATTCAGAGATTACGTAACTGAACAAAAGTTTTCGACGGTTATAAACGAAAAATCACAATTTAACGGTTATTTTAGCTCCGATTTTGATGATTTTTTACAGATACACTCCTTGACCCTATAAGAATGTAATGAATAAATTTGATCTTTAATTTAAAGTATTTACACTAGTGGATACCACAAAGACTTATTTTATACTTAATAGAAGTATAATATTAACTCTAAGTGTTTGTTTAATCTACCGTTTTGACGCAATATGCATTCTACAAAACTTTTTCAACGATCCAACCGTCAAACTTATTTGTACACATTCCGAGATCGCATACATAAAAAATCGTAAAAAACAAACATTCAGAGATTACGTAATGGAACAAAAGTTTTCGACGGTTATAAACAAAAAATCACAATTTAACGGTTATTTTATCTCCAATTTTGATGATTTTTTACAGATAGACTCCTCGACCTATAAGAATGTAATGAATAAATTTGATCTTTAATTTAAAGTATTTACACTAGTGGATACCACAAAAACTTATTTTATACTTAATAGAAGTATAATATTAAGAGTAAACTGTCGATTTGCCCCCTGAACTATCACCCAACTTTCGATTTGCCCCCTGAACTTTTTGATTGGAAAATTAAGGACTTAAACTAATTTTTTTGGCCGATTTCCCCCCTACCATTAGTTTTTCATAGATTTCATCCAAATTAACGTTAACTCTTATCATGTGCAAACCACGTAACTCTCATTTGTGGACAAAAGTGTCATTTCACTAGACATTCAGACAAAAAAGCTATAGAATCACACATATTTGCATAGGTTTATATTTTAGAAATCGAAGGTTTTCAATTATTTTAAAGAATGAAGCGACCGAACTACCTACACATGTTGTGCATATGCTTCTATTTAACAGAAATTTGGATGGAATGAATGAAAAATTAACAGCAGGGGGCAAATCGGCCAAAAAAATTAGTTTAAGTCCTTAATTTTCCAATTAAAAAGTTCAGGGGGCAAATCGAAAGTTGGGTGATAGTTCAGGGGGCAAATCGGCAGTTTACTCTAATATTAACTCTAAGTGTTTGTTTAATCTACTGTTTTGACGCAATATGCATTCTACAAAACTTTTTTCAACGATCCAACCGTCAAACTTATTTGTACACATTCCGAGATCGCATACGTAAAAACTCATAAAAAACAAACATTCAGAGATTACATAATGGAACAAAAGTTTTCGAAGGTTATAAACGAAATATCACAATTTAACGGTTATTTGAGCTCCGATTTTGATGATTTTTACAAATACACTCCTCGACCCTATAAGAATGTAATGAATAAATTTGATCTTTAATTTAAAGTATTTACACTAGTGGATACCACAAAAACTTATTTTATACTTAATAGAAGTATAATATTAACTCTAAGTGTTTGTTTAATTTACCGTTTTGACGCAATATGCATTCTACGAAACTTTTTTCAACGATCTAACCGTCAAACTTATTTGTACACATTCCGAGATCGCATAAGTAGAAAATCGTAAAAAGAAAACATTCAGAGATTACGTAATGGAACAAAAGTTTTCGACGGTTATAAACGAAAAATCACAATTTAACGGTTATTTTATCTCCGATTTTGATGATTTTTTACAGATACACTCCTCGACCCTATAAGAATGTAATGAATAAATTTGATCTTTAATTTAAAGTATTTACACTAGTGCATACCACAAAAACTTATTTTATACTTAATAGAAGTATAATATTAACTCTAAGTGTTTGTTTAATCTACTGTTTTGACGCAATATGCATTCTACGAAACTTTTTTCAATGATCCAACCGTCAAACTTATTTGTACACATTCCGAGATCGCATACGTAAAAACTCATAAAAAACAAACATTCAGAGATTACGTAATGGAACAAAAGTTTTCGACGGTTATAAACAAAAAATCACAATTTAACGGTTATTTTATCTCCAATTTTGATGATTTTTTACAGATAGACTCCTCGACCTATAAGAATGTAATGAATAAATTTGATCTGTAATTTAAAGTATTTACACTAGTGGATACCACAAAAACTTATTTTATACTTAATAGAAGTATAATATTAACTCTAAGTGTTTGTTTAATCTACTGTTTTGACGCAATATGAATTCTACAAAACTTTTTTCAATGATCAAACCGTCAAACTTATTTGTACACATTCCGAGATCGTATACGTAAAAACTCATAAAAAACAAACATTCAAAGATTACGTATCAGAACAAAAGTTTTCGAAAGTTATAAACGAAAAATCACAATTTAACGGTTATTTGAGCTCCGATTTTGATGATTTTTACAAATACACTCCTCGACCCTATAAGAATGTAATGAATAAATTTGATCTTTAATTTAAAGTATTTACACTAGTGGATGCCACAAAAACTTATTTTATACTTAATAGAAGTATAATATTAACTCTAAGTGTTTGTTTAATATACTGTTTTGACGCAATGCATTCTACGAAACTTTTTTCAACAATCCAACCGTCAAACTTATTTGTATACATTCTGAGATTGCAAACTTAAAAAATCGTAACAAACAAACATTCAGAGATTACGTAACGGAACAAAAGTTTTCGACGGTTATAAACGAAAAATCACAATTGAACGGTTATTTTAACTTCGATTTTGATGATTTTGTACATATACACTCCTCGACCCTATAAGAATGTAATGAATAAATTTGATCTTTAATTTAAAGCATTTACATTTTTTTATATATGAGTGATTGTATATATATATTTTTATATTTTTTACACTTCTACAATAATTATTATTAATTTTATTAATTTTGCCCTCAAATAAAAAAAAATTTATTCATGAGGGTTTGAAGGATTTTAAAAATCTAAATGATAATATAAGGGTAACAATTATCTATTCGTAGAGGAATAATGATAAATCACGGGTGTTTATATATTCTTTCACATTTTTCATACTTGTATGTATGTCTTCTTAGTTCTTGCATATACAAATACTATACCAGTATATTTTAATTTTGGACAAGAATATGTTATGTAAAATTTGTCCTAGTAATGATAATAAGGAACTCTCATAATAAAAATAAATAATGACTAAAACTTTTTTTTTATTTTTTTGTAATTTATATAGAACAATAATACAAAACTATATATTTAATATAGAATATATTGTATATATTAATATGACTATTGTATTTTATAATAAATCTTTTAGTAATTAAACTTTAAAATTATTAAAATAATTTTTTTCTTAACGGGTCGAAACAGGTTACCCACGTGTTACCCGCGTGTATACCTGTTAAGAACCCGTTATTAACGGGTTCTTAACGGGTTCTTAACGGGTCACCCGATAGTGACTCGATAAGTTATCGTGTTGACCCGAAACCAGTTATTTTCGTGTCGTTTTCGTGTCGTGTCAAAAACTGCCAGGTCTAGGTTTCATAATCTCTCATCCATATTGGTGGTCTTTGAGTTCGTCTCTCTTGAGATGCACTGCCTTCAGTCATGGCTCCTCCTACTTCATGAAACTCATCATCTTCAATGTTTTCAATATCTCCAGATCCCTCTTCATTTTCTGTGGTTGTTTCTTCATCAGTTTCCCACTCAAGGTCGGTTAAGACAGCTTGCTCATAAACTTCATCCCAATTCCACTGTTCATCTTCCTCAAAAACCACATCTCGACTAATAATAATTTTCTGTGAAATAGGATCAAACAGTCTATAAGCTTTGGATTCTTCACTTACCCCCATTAGTATGCATTTGAGGCTTTTATCATCCAGTTTCACCCTCTTACTGTCAGGAATGTGCACGTGAGAAATGTATCCAAAGACTCTAAAATGATCCACCGATGGTTTGCGCCCACTCCAAGCTTCTTCAGGTGTCTTGCCTTTTTACGGCAAGAGTTGGACTTCTATTTAATACATGCACTGCCCAATTCACAGCTTCAGGCCAGAATGTTTTTGGAATTTGCTTCTCTGACAGCATGCAACGTACCATATTCATGATAGTTCTATTCTTCCTTTTTGTTACGTCGTTCTGTTGAGGTGTGTAGGCAGCAGTCAACTGTCTGTGAATGCCATTCTCATTGCAGAACTTCGTGAATTCATGTGACGTGAATTCACCTTCTCGATCTGTCCTTAAGCCTCTTATGAATGCTCATGTCTCTTTCTCCACTCTAGCTTTATAAATTTTGAACATGGCAAAGGCTTCTGATTTTTCAACCAGAAAATAAACCCACGTTCTTCTACTGAAATCATCGATAAAGGTGATGGGATACCTCTTCTTACAATTTGAAATGGGACTTATCGAGCCACATGTCAGCATGTATTAACTGTAGTATCTTGGAGGCTCTCCACATACTTTCACGTGGAAAAGAGTCACGATGCTGCTTTCCCACAAGACAGTCTTCACACACTTTCTGAGAAGCTTTGAGCTTTGGCAACCCTTCAACCATATTCTTTTGTTGCAACACCTTCAATCCATTCCAGCTCAGGTGACTGTACCTACAGTGCCAGAGAGTTGCTTGATCTGTGGTTGTCATGGTGAGACATTTTTGTTCCTTCAGTGGACATCCTATTGCACGTCATCTCAGTCTCAAGAATTAGACCTTTCTCGGGATGAAAGATCTTACACTTTCCATGTTGCATGAGCACTACGAGTCCTCTCTCTTGCAGTTGAACAATACTCAGCAGATTGTTCTTCAACTCAGGTACAAAGAAAACTCCTGTGATGACATGCATGATCCCATGCACTTCTAGTCGTACCTTGCCTTTGCCCTTCACACTAAGACTGGAGTCATACCCCAGCTTCACTGACTCTCGAAAGCTGTCATCCATCTCAATAAAAACTTCCCTTTTGCCACACATATGGTTACTGCATCCTGAGTCAAGAAACCAAATGTACTCCTTCTCAGCTTCCTTAACCTCCACGTGCGCCATTAGCAACATTTCTTCCTTGATTTCTGCAAAATTCGCTTGTGAATCCCCAGCTTTCTTTGGACATTCCCATTGGAAGTGCCCTAGGCCATGACAATTGTAGCATTCGATGATAGATTTGTCGAACCCAGATCTACCTCTTCCTCTCCCTCTTCCTCGATAGGGGCCACGACCGCTACTTCTTCCTCCTTGCTGACCTCCTGAGGTGACTTGGAGGGCTTGTTCATCCACAACTTGTCGACTGACTCTTTATTCATGCACAAGAAGGCTACTATGGAGTTCATCAATGGATAATGCATCCAAGTCATTCAACTCTTCAATCGAGCAAACAACATAGTCGTATTTTGAAGTCATGGACCTCAAGATTTTTTCAATAATCACCACATCCTTCATTTGTTCTCCGTGAAATCTCATCTTATTAGCTATAGCGAGCGTCCTTCCAAAGTAGTCATTGACAGTTTCCCCAGCCTTCATATGCAGTAGTTCAAAATCATTTCGAAAGGCCTGCAGTTGAGCACGTTTCACACGTGTTGTTCCCTGATACTTCTGATTCAAAGAGTCCCATATATCCTTAGATGTGTCCTTTTTCAAGATCGTCTCTAAGATTGAACGATCAATGGCCTGGAACAGGTAGTTCTTGGCCTTCAAGTCTTTCAGTTTTTGCTCCTCCAGCGCATTCTTCTGCAGGTCACTAGATTCAGCTCCTGCTGCTGCTGCAGTGATTCCTGTCTCCACCAGGTTCCAATATTCATTGGAACGCAGAAAGTTCTCCATAAGCATACTCCAATGATCATAGTGCCCATCGAACCTTGGGATAACCGGTTGTACAAAGCTGTTCTCAAATGTCATAGTTGTGTTTTGCTCACGCTAACAACCGGTTTGGTCAGGCCTCGTGATAGGGCTCTGATACCAGATGTTGAAACTGAACTAGGTTACTAGAGCTTTGAGAATACACAATATGAAAAATACAGATATGCTTAGGAGAAAATCTTATTAAACTGAAGCAAACATCTTCGGCTATTAAATAGCCTTACATCGAACGGGAAAACAAATAACAACCCACAACTATTCAGGTCATAAAATTGTGGTGGGTGACTAGATTGAAAACAGAAAAAAAAAACAACTTGTCCCTCAAGTCAAGGAGGGTTATTTGCACGTCCAGGATCAACCCTAGAACAAAGGGATAAACTTTAGAATAAAGGAAACCCTAACAGCTAGACTGTTGAATATTTCAACAGAGTTTTCCTCCATCACCACCCAAATTGAACCTGCGACGACCTGATTCCCATCCGACGATAGACTTAATTCCCATCCGACAATGGCGACACGTCAACAATCGTGTCAGTCGACCTTTTGAGCTTATCTTTCCTCCCGTCCTCCTATAGCTCTGCTTCTCTCGCACCTTCCGAGAGTAGAAGCCTGATCAGGAGCGACTGTAATTATCTGGAATCGCCGAAGTTTGACTTCGATACAGCTTGAAGAAGGAGGTTGGTGATTGCAGAGGAGAGGGGAAAGGGAAAGTTTATTTTTAACCGCACGATCTATTACGGACGGTTAGGATTCGTTGATCCCAAGGATCTAGATGCAATTGCTCCGGAGATGATCCTAATCCACAAGTGACATCATTAGTAAGTTAAATATTTAGTTGTTAGGGGAGAAGAATCAGCGGACTTGAACCCAAATCAAAGTGCATAGACATAAAACCATGGGTAAATTACATTTTACCCCTTCAAATATGGGGTCAATTACAACCTCATACAACATCATTAAAACATTTCAATTTCATACATTTAGTTATATTTCTTTTCGATTTCATACATCCGTTAAAAATTTATTAAGTAATGACGTGGCAAATGTAGGGTCCATATTTGTTCTGACATGACTATAAACTTTTGCACCATGTGAATAAAAAATAATAAAAACAAGATTATTTAATAAAAAAAAAATTATATTATAATTAAAAAGCTAAAAGAACATTAAAAAAGGGATATGGGCAAAGCTTAGCCCAATAACCCTATCTCTTCATCAACTCCATCCCATCTCCTCTGTGCTTGTTTGCAGCCAATAATCCCATAGGGGTTTGGGAAGCTTCTTCCACCTCCAATCGCTCCATCTGTGCTTGGCCTAATAATCCCATTTGGGTTTAGGAAGCTTTTTCCACTGCTGCCTCCTCCTTGATTCGAGTCCATCCTCATATGCATGTTCGTCTCCAACAAGTCCATCAACGACATTCTCACCGGCTTGGCCACACTCGTCTCTCCCGACAACGCTTTATTTCATGTTTCTTCTCCTTCCTCGTCGACTTTTTCCGTCCCAGACGATGTCATCGTGGTAGCCTCTTGCATTGCTATAGCTTCCAGCATTAACAACGATCTTTCCTTATTCGGCGTTGTCGTCAATCACCTTCTTGGCGAGTCTTTCGCGACCTTATCAGCAACGAACCACACGAAGCTTCAGCATGAGAACATTAAGGTGTGGGGGGTTTTTCACTTCCACCTCATTAGATGGAATCGAGGTGTTGGGGTTGAACCGGGTGGAGCCCTGCCACCAAATCTACCTCTCGCCCTACTGAGTCATATTGAGATTGAACTCAGAAGTGACAGAACAAATCGAGCTACGAGCAAGTTATGAGATCGTGGGTTCTGGTGGTGGTGATTGGAAATGTATAGGAGTGTGAACTGATGTAGAGGATGGGTTATTGGGGACAACTGCCAAAAAAAAAAATCCTTCACCAAGTTGCCCAAATCCTCTTTTTAATTTTTAAAATTTTAATTTATTTTTATTAAATAATCTTTTTTTAATTTTTTTTATTCACATGATGCAAAGTTGACTGCCATGTCAGCACAAATATGGACCCTACATTTGCCACATCATCACTTAACGGTTAATTTAACATATTTTTTAACGGATGTATATATGAAATTGAAAAGAAATATAACTAAATGTATGAAATTGAAATGCTTTAAAGATGTATGAGGTTGCAATTGATCCCATGCTTGAGGGGGTAAAATGTAATTTACCCTAAAACCATTATCAATCCTCAGAATCTAATGAAATTCAATTTGATCTAAATTGTTTTTGCACATTTTTTATTTTGCAATTTAAGTCGTGTTACTTTCTAAAAAAAAGCGTAATTAGATTTAAAAAAAAAGAATTGTTATTAGCACTTTAAAAATCTCATTCTACACTCATCACAAATGTATTTTTATTTCTAATTATAATTTTCTCATTCATTACGCTCAACAACTCTTTTGCGTTTACACACATCAATAAAACTTTTCTCCGTTGCCCAGAACCTCGAACTTCTACATTAGTCGTAGAATGCGCAAAAACTATATTGTCGACAATCAATTTGGTTGGTAGTATTGGTGGTGCAACAACAATTGCCGCTGGTTTGTACAAGTGCAAAAACGGATAATGTCAATGTTAGTCAATGCAACAACAATTTCGGTAGTCCGTACGAAAATAATATTGGGTGTGATTGCAAAAATAATTGTGAATAGTCCGTTATATTTAATCATCACGGGATGGTTCAGTGGTTAGAAATGAATTTTAAGTTCGTATTCAACACGTTTTGGGTTTAATTTCTTGCGCTGGTGAATCGCACGATAGTGACTAGAGGGAGACTAAAATACTTGTGTGAGTCTCTTCTACCCTAAAAAAATGCACTGTCACTACGAAACCACCAATTGATTTTTTTTCTAAAAATAATAATAATAGTCAGTCATTCTTGTAGGGAATGCAACAACAATTATCCAAGAGTCAGGCCTGAGCTTTTAAAGGCTCGAGGCAACACCAAAAAGAAGGTCCTAGTATAAGTTTACATGTAAAAGTTATTTATATCATATTATCATATATGTGCATATTTATATATAAAACTGTTGGTTAGTGTTCATTAACAGTAAAATGGCGAAACTGCCCCTCTAAATTTTCGTCCTCTTCGTTTTAATTATGCGTTTCTACCCTTATATGACTGTTTTGCCCTTTTGGTTCTACGTGTCTTTCATCACTCGGTGCTTTGGCTTTGACTGTTTGGATTGTTCAAGCTTCTTCTTTGTTGTCCAGGCCGCCCACGCGTCGATCATCCTCGACTTCGAGCAAGTCCACCGTTGGACATTGCTCGAGGGACAGGCGACAGGAAATGGCCCAAGGGCCAGTGGGTTCGGCTCCAGCGTTGGGCAGCCTGAGTGAGGGTGGGAGCCCGAGGGTCAGGCCCGTGAGGGATTGACAGCCCTTTAGCCCGAGGGGTGTGGCACCAGGCTGACGTCATGCCTCGCGTCGGTGGTGGACTATGTAGCCTGTACAGGCTGTAGCATGACGATGACGACCTCGATTTTAATCCGTACGTACTGTCCGACTTGGAAGAAGAAACCCACCACTCAATTCGGAAGAACTGGAACTAGAATGCATCAGGAACTCTTTCTAAAGCTGCATCTCGAATTTTTCATCTCGAAACCTGGCATGGAATATCGTCGAATACGAAGTTCTCGACGGTGGGTTCGTCAATGGAACTGTAAATGGAGTCAAGAAGGGTGGAAGAGAGATGGGTTGTCTCTGCTGTGTCCTTTGGAGTGTCCGTCTCTATTTTCTGGGAGTGATTTGATATCCCATATCTCCATTTTTGTCTGGTTTTGTAGTGGTTCAAAATAGAGAAATGGGAAATAGATGTTCTGGGTTTTTCATGATGTTAAATTATGGAGCTCTCCTTGTTATGTTTGCTAGACCATTTTCATGATGTTAAAAAAAGAAAAAATAGTTTTAAAATTAAGAAAAGTTACCGTTGTGACACGTGGCATAATCTGAAGTGTTGGAATTTAATTTTTTTTTAAATCTAACGGCAGAGATTAATTATCCGAAATTATAAATAAATTTATTTAGTATTATTTTGTAAAAAAAAATTAATAATATTTTATTACCTATTGTCAGGGCTATTCAAGTGCAACGATGAGGATGTAAAATTCAGTTACTGTTTATTACGGCAGTTACTGTGTTCATAGGTGGATTGAATAGTAGATTGCGTGGAGGACTCCAAGGATGGAGTTGTTCTTCTAGATACTTCCTTTCCATTTCACTTCTATCTCTCTCACAATTCTCGGCTTATGTCATTCTGAATCCTGGATTTCTTTCACTCCCAAACGCTGATGTTCACGACTTGGCCATTGATTTGAACGCCACCAGCTTCAATGCAGTCCTTGGAGACACCCTGCCTCATTTGCCATAGTCGAATTCTTCGCTCACTGGTCAGCTTTTCTAATTTCTATGTAAACTATTGATTTTATTTGGGAAATAAATGGAACCTCTTATGTTTTTTTTCTTCTTAAAGTATTGATGTTTGAGTGTTACTCAGTAGATCATGGGTTTAATTTTGTTTGGGATTTAGTTTCAAGTCTTTAGCAGTATCGAATCCTTTATTGTTAGGCGTTTTGTTCTCATCTTGCGATCGCCGGGGCAGCAGCTTTAAGGTAAGTTTGTTTTTAATGATTTATCCTCATTTTACGATGTCTGGGCTAACAAATTTCAGGTCTTTATTTTTCTTTTTGTTGCGGATCTGCAGGTTTTGACAAGTTTTTTGTGAAATTGGTGGCTAATGGTATACTGCCTCTTCAGATTATTGGCAAACAAATTATACTGAGCTTGGGTATGTTTAAAACAACTGTCTAGTTTTCGATTCTAAGTTTGTTGCTTCAATTTCCATATAAAGTTACCATTTTTCATTATTTCTTGAATTTGGGTTTTAAACAATGAAAATACTGCTAGATTCTTATCATTATGTGCAAATTACTGGTGATTTGGATTGGTGCCTGAGATTCAGAGAATGGCTCGTAGCATTAATTTCTTTTTCCTTCATT